AGAGGGACATTTAGCAGTTTGTCTGAATGGACAGTGCCCATGGCACTTGGACTGCATAGGTTGTGGTTAGCAGGCCACACCCAGGCTTTCCAGAGTGGCCCCTACCAGGCCAGGATACAGCATCAGACACAGTTAGCCTGATTTTGCCACAGCCTTTCTTAGGGAAGACCCAGCCACCGTCAAGGAAGGCAGCCTCTGCCCTGGAGTGGAGGATGGCCAGTAAGGGAGTTGCAGTGCCCTCTGACTTTATTCCCTCCAGGTTGTCATTAACCCCAACTACGAGGTGCCAGAATCAGATTTCTCTAACAACATCATGAAGTGCAGGAGCCGCTATGATGGCTACCGCATCTGGATGTACAACTGTCACGTAGGTAAGTTCCCTTAGTGGCCCCACCCTCCTCAAGAGGCTAGGACACAGGACACAGCTGCCCTACTTTCTCTGGGAACCAGAGGCTGCTAATCTGGGAGAAGCTGGGAGTGAAGCCAGAATCAAATTCCTAGCTCAGAAAGAAAGCCAGAGATGCATGAAGGCCTGGTAGGGATTGGATATTCAGTCAGTCCTGGCCAAGGAAGAGGGTGGTGCAGAACTGGCTAGCCTAGCAAGAGCAGACCCCAGGTCTATATAAGGGCTGGAGCTACGGCCATCAACCCAGTGCTCCTGTGACCCCAGCTATGTAGGCATCAGTGTCTGGGCTCTGTGTATTGGGTTTCGCTGTGAAGCACTCTCCTGACTCTTCACCAATGAAGAGTTTGTTCCTTGGGGAACAAGAAGGAAAGCAGTTTTTGCCTCTCTTGGCATAGGACAGGCCACACTCCTGGTGGCACTGTATCTATTTAAACGCCTTAAGTTTTGCACTGTACCTGCTGAGTTCCTGGCCCTAGAGCTCACTGGTACCATCCTGAGGTGTGCTCAGTGGGGCCACAGTTGAGCATGTACCTAATTTTGTCTCCTTGACTCCTGCTTTCCAGGTGGAGCCTTCAGTGAGGAGACTGAGCAGAAGTTTGAACACTTCAGTGGACTTTTAAATAATCAGCTCTCTGTGCAATAAAGATGACCTGGGGCGGGCATGATGGCTCATGCCTGTAATCCCTGCACTCAGACCGAGGCAGGAGGATTGCCACGAGATTTCCACTCCAGATATTAGACCAAGCGTCTGTCTCAAAAAAGGGAGAAGAAAAAAGACAAAAGATAGAAAGAAAAGAAAAATGACTTAATGGTCACCTACTGCATTCAGGTGACTGTGTCCCCTGGGGGGAATACCAGTTGCCATCTCCCGGCTAGCCAGATCCAGCAGAGAAGAAAGGTGCTCTTTTCATTCACCAGGCACTGCTACTTGTCCCTGTCCTGAGGCCTCAGGGCAGGGGCTTTGGCACATGGCTACGGAAATTGGATGGCAAGCTATGAGAGGTTCCCATCCAAGTTTTGGCATTTCCTAATTGTCATATCACCAAGCTCTGCATAGATGGGCCATTTTCTTCTGGAGATGTGGCAGGTATGAACTTAGCAACTGCAGAGGTGGTCAAGCCAGATTCCATTTTTCACCCCCTTCTTAGGTCATTTCTGGAAAACTTGAATATCAAGACCTCTATATTAAGTGTTTTTTCTCTTTGTACAAACTTCTTGACAAAATCAACTTGAGGAAGGAAGGCTTTATTTTGGCTCATGGTTTGAGGACCCAGTACCTCGTGGCAAAGAAGGCATCACAGCAGGAGCATGAGTTGTCTGGTTTCAGACTCACTGTCTAGCTGAGAATGACCTTGAACTTCTGATCCTCCTGTTTCCACCTCCAGAGTGCCCAGGATGAAACCCAGGACTTCACACATGTAAAGCAATGTGCTCTTTAACAATTAGAGCTGCTTCTTGGCACCCACCCTAATCAGCACCCACCTTTCTCAGCTGCTGTAAACTTGTGCATGTTCTTTTCCTTACCAGACTGCACATTTTCCTGTATCTTTATGCTCCTGGGGGGCGGGGAATACCAGTTGCTTTTTTTTTCCCCCCCTGTGGGCCTGAGTAAGAGCAGTGAGCAGAACCATACAACAGCCTGAACACTGTCCCATCTTAAAATGTCCTCCGCCAAACAATTAGTCCATCACTCTTAAGAATCGCCCCAGTGCTCAGGACATAGGCAGGATGCAGCTGAATTCTTGCCAGGGCATAACACGGTTGGCCTCCAGCTCAGATAGTCCTAGGGCCCCATTGAAACCTCAGGTACCAGGCCTCCAATGTCCACATTTCTCTTGGCATTCTGGTCTTCCAAACTCCCACCAGAATAGCCCATTCAGCTCTGTTCCCAACACTCTAGAGCTGTTCAGGCCCAAAGTTCCAAGCTCTTCCAGATTCCTCCCTCAAACTTATTCCCAGAGCTCAAGAACTCCATGGCCATGCTTCATAGCACTAATCTTCTTGTATTAGTTACATTTCTCGTTACTGTGACAATACTTGACAACAGCAGTTAAAGGGAAGGTTGTAGGTCAAGAGTGCAGTCCATCATAGTGGGAAAGGCATGGCCACAGGTGCGGAAGGCAGCTGGTCACATTGTATCCACAGTCAGGAAGCCAATTGGTGAATGCTGGTGCTCCATTTGCTTTCCTCTTTGTATTCCGCCTACAGCCCGGCCCCAGGAATGGTGCTACTAGTGTTAGGGTGGGCTGTCCCTCTTCTATTAAACCTCTTCTGGAAGCACCCTCAGAGACCCACCCAGAGGTGTGTTTTCAGGATGTTTCTAAATCCCATCAAGGTGACAATCAAGGTTACCTATCACAACCTCTTCCAGCTACACTAACTTCTATATTCTATGCAATTATAGCCACAATTTAAAGTACAATAGCAAGACATACATTCCAAGACTCCAAGGGGATGACTGAAGATTTGGATGATTCTGAGACAGAATAGGAAGAGAAAATCATGGGGAACATGGGAAGGGCCCTTCACCTCAGAGTCTGGTTGAAGCTCTTGCCAGCTGGGAATGCTGACACAGAGCACACTGTGAATGGTGCTAATATAGAGACAGTGTTTGTTTTAAATAGATAAGTCAAGTAAGAATGTTAAAATAGCAAGGAATTAGGAAGTACAAATGCCCTTTCTCCTTTCCCAGCTGTAAATGTACAATTTCCTAGAAATGGGGTCACCAGGAACCCCATTTACAGTAAAAAGCATATCTCAAGATCCTTATGCTATCCTCATGACCCATGGTTCCATCTTATCAGGGTTCAGTCCTATCCAAGGCACCTCTGGAGCCACCCTATAATCTCACTATCAAGAAGGGGAAGAGGTTGGGAGTGGGACTTAGAAACCCATCAATAATACCAAAGGCTTCCAAACCCCTGTGTATGGCTAGTTACTAAGACACTTAAGAACTGCTGTCCTCTGAGAAGCCCACACCCCAGCTCTCAGGTGTGCCTTACTCTTTCCCTGAGTGCCTCTTAGCCCCTGTAACTTAAATTTATATTTAAAATATTTTAAATAAACTTTAACTCTGCTTCATTATGGCTGTCTAAAATATCTTCTCTGTAGCAAAGTCCAGGACCCAGAGGTCTCTAAGGGGAAAGGGACTTAAGGTTGATGTCAGTGGTGGTGTGCCATCTCACGCTACACTACTAATGGCAGGTCCAGCTTGTGTTACCCTGCTTATTGCCACAACCACATACCCAGTGTGTAGAGCAAGGTTTTAGGCACTTGGTTTGGGGGCAAGAACAGTTTGAAGCTATGACAAAAGGAGCAGGGAGCTGCTTGCTCAAATATCAATGGACCAAGGCAAAAGAATGCCAACATCCATGTGACTTTCCCCCTTCATTCAGTCTAGGACCCCAGTGCATGGGGATGGTGCTACCTGTGTTCAGAGTGGGTCTTCCCTCCTCAGTTGGACATGTCCTAACAGACACATCCAGAAATGTGTCTCCCATGGGACTCCAGATCCAGTCAAGCGGATGATAAAGTTAGCCATCACACAACACTAATATATAATACCATTTTTGTCTACAACTATGTAACTGTTGTGCAATTGTTTTGTTGTTGTGACCAACATCCTAGAGAAACAATATGCAAGAGGGAAAAGTCTTCATTTGGGCTCATGGTTCATCCAACTGTCAGCTGGCTCCATGTCACTGGGCTCATGAGACAACATCAGTCATAAGTTAACTGATTTCAGCTGTGCTATCAACTGGGTCCTAGGTTATGCTCACCAACACACCACCACCACCACCACCACACATACGCACTTGTAGGCTGGAGTGAAATGTTCCTTACTCGTACCTAGGTTTCATTTGAACCACTGCCCCCAGGGCCCAAAGCTTCCTATATCTAGGACTGTTGGACATATTTAGTTTCACACTTTCAGGAATGGTCCTTGTCTTCCAAAGTTCCCTGTAATCGGGAAGACCAGATCAGTACACAGCAGTGTGTCAGAAACAGGCAGGACAGCCAGCCATAGGGCAGCTTCCCAAGGAAGAGAGTGTGCACTAACAGAGCAGGGCTCCAGCCCTCCCTTGGGTCTCCTGTGTTAAAGAGTGTGCTGGCCCCGGCAAACCTGAGATCAGCAATGACCCCCAAACTCCAGAGTGGGCCATGGTACCTCCAATACTACACTCGAGAGAGGAGAGCACTGTCCTGTCCTACAAGAATGCCCCTGGGCCTGTTTCTGAGGGGAACACTTGGTGTGCACTCAAGTCTCCCCTCTCAGCTTTGTTTGAGCTTACTTTTGTCAGGAGCTCTTTTGTAACCCACATCCACAAATAACACCCAAGCACTGTTACACCCACAGCTGCGCATAGCACAGGATGGCAGGCTGGGGTTTTTGAAATGGGGGAGACTGGGCAGGTGACATGGATCAAGTACCACCTACTCCCCAAACAGGCCACCCGTGCACAAATGCCCCCGAAGTTAAGATGGGATCCTCTAGGCAAGATGACCTGATCGTCAGTAACTACAGACCCACACACAGTAAGAGATGGAACAGCACCCTCTAGTGTCCCTCGAGACCACACTTGGATGCAATCAATACAACTTTTAAATTTTTATTTCTTCTCAATTTCTGGAACCAGATCAACAAAAGCCTGTTGTGCCCCACAGCAGTTCCAGTGGGAACAAGGGGCTATCCTTGGGTCTGTAAAGGCGTGAGTGGTGTTGGGGTCCAGCCTAGTCTGGACAGCTGGGTCTGGTGCCTCAAGATGGCAGGAGACTCGGAGCAGCAGACGGCTCTTTCTTTCTGTTGTGTTGGAGCCCCAAGGCCCGGGCCACCAGCCTGCGGGCCACCGCTGAATCTGTCTGTGGCCTCTCCTTCGCTAGCTGCAGGAGCTCTGAAAGGAAGACCCAGTGGTGAGACTTGGACAGGATGTCTCTCCTCTGGGTGACAAAGCATCCTTGATAGCCAGGTGAGGGTCAGCCCATGTCTAATGGTACGGCAAAGGCTGGGGCCCAGCTGTGTACACAACAGCCAGGTGACTGTGAGAGGGAACCAGAAGGGCCCCAGGCCTGTATTTCTGCCTCCCTGTGAGAACTGACAAAAAATAACCCCTCCTGGCAACCTGGTTCATCCATACAATGGTGTCAGAAGGAACTAATCCTACATCCCCTTGCTCAGTGAGGCCCTTTGGGAGGAAACACTCAGGACAGGACCCGGACTGTTGAACATAGGGATGGGATATTTATTGTTTCTAAGAAGTCTAGGACAAGACCCTGTCACCATTCACAGTGGCATGGAGGGCTCTGGCAGACCTCCCCTGAGCCCATTCTGCTGGTTCCAACTTTGCTATCATAGAAACTGACCTCTCAGAGCCACCCCCCACCCCAACGCTTTTTGGAAGAGGAAAGGGAGGGAACTTAACCTAACAGCTGCCATCTGGCTCCTGTACAAGTGACTCACCCCAGGTCAACTGAGATAAGTTACAGAACCAAGGTTCCATCTAGGGCTTTTACCCTTCCACAGGACAGTCTTCACAGCCCTCTGGAAGGAAGGAACTTTTCCTAATCAATGACCAGAGGAAAGTGTGAGCGGGAGGACTAATGTATGCCCGTGGTAGCTGACCCTAGGCCCTCTCCAGGCCTAGGGGAAGCTGAGCCCCACTAGCTACTGTAGCCCAGGCTCTTGAAGAGCAGGGAAATAAAGAAGGAAAAGCAAGCCAAACACAAAAGCACACACAAAGCCTCCCCGTGGAGGGACAGGCTTCCCTTACTTGGCCTCTGCAAGGCTTTGAGCTTGGACAGCTTGGTTCCCTGTGTGAGCGGACGGATCTTGAGCACGGAGAAATCCTTGGCTAGGGCCTCAGCAGCTGGAGAAAGGAGGGGAGATCTGGTATGATTCTTGTGCTATGAGAAACCCCCAGGGGTCTGGAGCACATGTATCACCCCAAACTGCCAAAGCCACGTACTGTCAGTAAAGCTGACAGTGTCACCTTGTGCCCCAAGTGGGCACTGCCTGTACTGTCAGATTCTCACAGCAAGATGGGCAGGCTCTGCCTGTGAAAGCTGGAGCTTAGACCAGAATCTCCTTCTACCCCTCAAGATCCCCAGGGACACCAGTACTCCTGCACATTGGGCCAAGGTGCACATGACATCAGGACATAGCAGATGTGTTACATGGACAAAAACTGACACCAGGACATGATGCACTCTTGCTATATTGTTTATGATAGGCCCATGAGGCAGCGTACTGACTGGTTTTGTGTGTCAACTTGACACAAGCTAGAGTCATCAGAGGGAGGAGACTCAGTTGAGGAAATGTTTCCATGAGATCCAGCTGTGAAGCATTTTCTCAATTATGGAAGGCCTAGTCTGTGATGGATGGTGCCATCCCTAGACTGGTGGTCCTGGGTTCTATTAGAAAGCAGGCAGAGCAAGCCAGGGGAAGCAAGCCAGTAAGCAGCACCCCTCCATAGCCTTTGCATCAGCTCCTGCCTCCAGGATCCTGCCCTGTTTGAGTTCCTGTCCTGCCTTTCTTCGGTGATGAACAGCAATGTAGAAGTATAAGCCAAAAAATAAACCCTTTCTTCCCCAACTTGCTTTTTGGTGATGGTGTTTGGCTACAACAACAGAAACTCTAATTAGGACACCCAGCCAGAGCTCATTCTTCCATAGTCCTCAGTGGCCACTTGGCCTTTTTTCTTGCCATCACTCTCTCTGCTCCTCCCCACCCTCAATTTTAGACTTCACAAAGATTAGGTCAAACCCAAGTAGGGTGCTCCCAGCTCTGATGTGCAGAGGCTCTGATGTACACACATGGTTCCGGATGGGAGAGTCTCTTATTTGTAAGTACACTCAAAATGGCAGTGGAGTGGCAGGGACAGCCTGGGACAGTGGTCGAAGGGGAAGAGGAGTACTGAGGTCACAGTGAGGAGGCTGTATGATGCTCCAGCTTCCACAATGAGAGGTCTGTAATTCAACACAGACCCTGGCATTGTGGGGTGGGTGATGCCCCCTGCACCTGAGGCTGATGTGAAATCCCAATGACAATGCACCTGCCTGTTCCCTGTGCCAAATGCCTATGACCCAGAGCAACAGTACCTGATAGTTTCATTCAATTTGGGGAAGGACCTATGGCTTAACCCATGTCACCTGTGTGGGAAATGCCACTGATTCTAACAACTCTGTACCGAAACCACCAATAGAAAGAGGAAAGGCCAAAGACTCCCTGAGTTTCCCAGGCCATAGCCCCCAGCACCCAGACTGGGGTTCAGGCTTGCTGAGAGCCCAGCCCATGGGCTGAGGTGAGGGTAGTCTGTCTCTGGACATGGATGGCTCTCCACCCAGGGAACCCAGGCACCTCTGCTCTCATTGGAGGCCAGAGAAGGAGCAGAGCCCAACAGGAAGCTGCCTTACCTGAGGCCTGGCAGGGAAAGATGCCGATGGCATGAGTGTCATCCACCCACTGGATCTTGAACCCGTTCTCTCTGCGTGGGGAGAGGACACAGGAGCTCATAAAAGCCAGTGCTCAAGACCCTTTCCCCTTGGATCCTGAAGGCTAGGTCTATCCCACCTCAAACCCTAAGACAAAGCTATCTCCTCCCTCCATTAGAGGGGATTACTGACATACTTTCTTGACAGAACATTAGTCAGCTTCAGAAAGACCCAGTGTCACCCTGTAAACAGGTGAGCTGGGTCGCCAGTCAGCATCTAGAACACAATGAGCTAGTACTGGAAGGCTCATCTAGCCCAAAGCAAAGACTGAGGAAGACCCCCCAGATACTGTCATAGCCAGGCTGGGCATGGGCTCTGAGTAAGAAAGCTAAAAAGGCTTATGTAGGAGAGGAGACATCCCAAACAAGCAAGATGGGGACATGGCTGTGGGTGGCCTTCTCCCTACCATGGACTCTGTGCCTATGAGAGGCTAGAAGCAGCTTTGGAATGGCCCTACTCTCCTAGTGGCACTGCCCACTTGACAAGGGGTCAGTGGTGGCCCTGTGTGGCCCTATAGTTAGAGACAGAGTTGAAAAAGTAAATTGTGCCACCTCCCACAGCTGTCCCTTCAGCACAGGTGCAGAGGACAAGGGACAGTGGTATGGGAAGCAGTGTCAGAGAGGAGGGCCAGGAATAAAGGGGTTTTTATTTTACCTTATGTATATGAGTGTTTAGTGTGCATGTATAAATGTGTACCACATGCATGCCTGGTGCCCACAGATCTGGAACTGGAGTTACCAATGATTTTGAGCCACTGTGTGAGTGCTGGGGTCCAAACCCAGGTCCTCTGCAGGAATACAGGAAGTGCTCTTAACCTCTGAGCCATCTCTCCTGCCCCAGAAGGGGGCTTTAAAAAGCCCACAGAGGTAAAGCAAAGACAAAGGAAAACAAGCAAATTAGAAAGAAAAAAAGAAGAAATGGCAGAAGGTTGCATCCACAAGAATTGGGGAGAAGTCAAGAAGAAGTCCTGTCCTTGAGTATATCCCTCCAGGCTCCAGCCAACCACCAGCTCAAGCCATATGCCCCATATATAGCTCTCATACCAAGATGGCCCTCAGGCTACTGTAGACCCAATGACCCACTGGCATATGGATAGCAGGGTCCTGAGACTGATGGAAGGCCTCGTGGTCCTAGCAAGGGTATGCACACACAGAACTTGGGCTGGGTCTCTGGCTTTTGAACATTGTCAGTGCTCAAATCAACCCTTCCCCTCCCTCAGTCAGAGCCATCAGGCTGACCTGCCTCAGAGCAAATAGCCCAGACATCAAGGCCTATCTCAGTCTTCTTTTCTGGTGCAGGCAATCATCCCGAGCAGGGGAGGGCTATCCTAGCTTCTCCCAGTCTCCCCACCTTTACTACTCACTGGAACCCAGAGAAGGTGGCCAACAGGTCTTCAGTCTTGAGTGTTGGCTTAAAGTCATAGATCTCCACCACGTGGGCCAGGTCCCTCTCCCCAGGTAGCTCTTCTGTGAAGGAGGATGTGTCCAGGTGGATCCTCTCTACCTCGATCTCCTTTTCGGTCAGGTTGGCTGTGATCTAGGAGCAAACAGACCCTTTGGCAAGGGAGACCTGACACACAGGGTCCCACCGACGCTTTCCAAACTCATAGTTCTCAGGAAGACTCTGGCTTGGTAGGCATCGGGGTATGGCAGCTTGGTTTCTCAGCAGGTGGAGGTTTCAGGGAAGGGTGCTTGGTTTTATGGAGCCCTCACTAGGATGACTGCCAGCTGTGCCCATTGTGTTTCACCTAATCTTGAAATGCATTCTATATACCCTCCTTACAGATGGAAACACAGAGGGCCAGTGAATTAAGTAGTTTGCCCAAAACTGCATAGTTTGTAGGGGAAAAAAAAAAAGAGCTGGGCAAAGCCAGTATCTTTACTTTCCTTACTAAAAATGTGATTTTCTCAAAGACGGTGTATAAGGCAGCAATCAAAGACACCCACCCTCCCAACCGATCCAGAGTCAACGTTAGGGGCAGATACATGGTCTCAAGAAAATACAATTTCTAAGGCAGAGCTCCAGGCAAGAGGGTGATTTTCTCTAACAGAGAGCAACACACCTGGAGGACTCTGTTTCCACTGCCTTGTGATATATGTACTACCTTTTTCTCATATGAGGAAACGACTTTAAAAACAAGTGGCTTGCTCAGGGCTAGCCATCTCCTAAATGGTCATACTGGGACCCAAATACACCGTTCCTTCTCCAGGTTCCCTAAACAACTTCTATTACCCAACACCCAGGCCTGAGCCATCCTACATACATCCCATTAGCACACCCCCCTCACCTCCATCCCAAGGCCCTTCTCCCATACCCAAGGCCACACCCACCTCACCTCCGCCCTCCCTTTTCTGGGCTCAAGAGCCTCATCACCTCCTGCAGCAGCTCACTGAAATCGTCATGGTCGGCATCGCCATCCTCTCCATTTTCTTCCCCATCCACCTTCTCTTCCTCCTCGTCCATCTTCTCTTCCTCCTCGTCCATCTTCTCTTCCTCCTCGTCCGCCTTCCCTTCCTCCTCGTCCGCCTTCCCTTCCTCCTCGTCCGCCTTCCCTTTCCGTTCATCCACCTTCTCTTCCTCTTCCTCCACCTTCCCTTTCTGCTTGCCGACATTCTCATCTTCCTTACCCACCTTCTCTTTCTCCTCTCCCTCTACCGCTTCCTCCTCTTGGTCCACCAGGCTCTGCACCAGCAGACTCCTACTTTCCTCCTCCATGGCCAGCTGTGGGCTGGACGCCTGCTGCATGGCTGTCTCTACCCCTTGTTCCTTCTCAGGATTCTCAGAGGGCTCAGAATCACCCAGCTCCAACCGTGAATCATTTGCGTAGCCTGGATCTGGGCTCTTCGGGAGCTCTGTTCCATGAGTCACCAACATGGGAACTCCCTGATCAGCTTCAGGGTCCCCAGACCCTGTAGGCTCTTCTGAAACTCTACCAGTTGGGGCCTCTCCCTTGGGGCCTGGCATGGAGGGTGCTACTGGCTCATCTTGCCTTCGTCGCACCCGGGGCACATACAAAGGCTGATCGGGCTTCCGCCCACGATGCCACCGGCCAGCAGGAGCACCTCGGGGACCAGCAGCTGCTCCCTGATGTGAGGAGTACCGAGGACCACCACGGTACTTGCTGGGATGGGAGGCAGGAGGGCGACAGGGACCAGAGGGGCCATCTGAACTGGGTACCCTAGAGTAGAAACAGACGCTTCAGAGCAGGTCTGGGTCCACAGAAAAATGAGCCACCTATCTTTCAGGCAAGACACTGGCAAGTCAGCATTAAGCGAAGGTCACAACCAAAATGACCCTCCAAAGAATCTCTCACAAAGGCAAAAAGGCCATGCCTGACACACCCGCAAGAGTTCCCTCATGAATGCTACAATCAAATCAGTGGGTGCTTTTAGAGCTGTTATTAGGATCAGAGTCGCAATGCTAAGATGTCCATCCTATGAGATGCACACAGGAAGAGGAATGACTACAGGCTGACAGGTTCTTGCCCTGAACCAAGGTCTCCCTGGAGAACATGCTGACAGGGAGAGGGGGGCAGACCCACCCTTACTAGTCCAACCGTTCGTGGGTGCTCTCTTCCCTTAGCCCAACATGAACAGCTGATTTAGCCAAGCAGCTGATTTTGCTTCCCTGATGAAGCAAAAAGCAACCCTGACTTCACACAGTTGGGGGTTCCTGGTTCCTGACAAGTTCTACCCTCCCTGGCTAGCCAGCTAGCCCAACCATCACAAAACAATCAATTGCTGAGAACCCTCCAAAGCGGTAAGATACCAAACCTGATGTCCAAGTGACAGACGACTGTTCTCCTCTTCCAGCCCTCCCCAACAGAGAAGCTGCTCAAGAGATCAAAAGTTTCTGCTGTTCTGTGGATCAGGTACCGCAGGCGGCTGGAGACAGGGGGGAAAAGAAGGACCCTGGGAAGGGACCAAAGGGAGTATTAAGCCGAGGTGGCGGGTCCTGTTTCTGGACCTGATTCCCACGGAGGCCACTCCCAGGTTTATGGTGGCTTAACACCAGGCTCGGTGTGCCCAAGCCGGTCCCTGCCTAATTGCAAAGTAGATCACAGGGAGCTACAGTTCTTATCATTCCGAAGAGGGTGGGTACTTGTGCTTAAGTGGGAAGACGCTCGGATACAAAGGAAGGATATGGCTGGACAAGGGGGCAGAGGCTAGAGGCTCAGATCAGGCAGGGCCTGGCGGGTGGACCCGCCAGTTACCTAGGCTCAGCCCCTGGGGGATGGGGGAGTGACCCTACCTTCTTAGCATTGAAGCCGCCCCCAAGTTCCCCCAAGTTCCCCGTACTTGGATAGCTGCTTCTGCAGCAGGAAGCGATCCAGCTCCTCCTGGACCCGGTGGACAAAGTCATTTTCGGCCGAGGAGAGGAAGACACCGTCCAAGCAGAGAAGGGCCAGGGTGACAGATGGCAGAGCCTGTAGGGGCGGTGGACAAGGCCGGGGAAAAGAATATAGGCGCGGAGGCCGCCCACAGCCCCAAGCGTTCGTGCGGCGAGGACTTTGATGACTTTTGAATTCCTGGCCGCCTTGGAGCCCGATGGGAGGCGCGTGAGTGCGGGGCCGAGGGCGCTCACGTCCAGGGCCAGACTGGGTCCCCCGTTGCCAGCGTCCGCTTTGCCTGTGATACCCTGGTTTTCCAGTTCTCGAGCGCAGCCCACTGAAGCCGCCCCGCAATACCCAGCCGCCCTTCCTGGCCGCTATCAGGGTGCCCAGGAGGGAAGCCCCCAACACCCGCAGCACTCACTCACCGCGGCAGCCCGGAAAGTGGCTGCGGCGCTCAGGATCCCCCCCACCCCCTGCTCCCCAGCGGGTTCAGCGCCATCGTGCGGCCGGGAGGAGGTATCGCATATGCCGCAGAGGGGCGTGTTCCTGTCTTGTTTAGAGGTGGGCCTGGGGGCACAGCGCTAACCACAAAGTCACAGGGCTTCTCCCTCAAAGACGCGACTAAGTGATTATATTCTTGGGAAAATGGACACCCAAGAGGGTGAAATGACTTGTTTAGAGTTACACGTGTCAAAAGTGGTTCTGATTCCAAAGTCAGTTACTTCGTTTTTCTTCCAGAACCAATTAAGCTCACTAGACACTTGTTAACAACTACTACAAGCTAGATAGTGGTGGCATTATATATTTCTAAGTTTAGATTCTTTTGACCGGGTACCTAACGGTGGGACAACGAGGAAGGAAAAGGAGGCTGGAGCTGGGAAGATGGTTTATGGATTAAGAGGGTGTACTGCTCTCCAGGTTCAGTTCCCAATGACACTAGCCCATGGACACAAATAAGTACATATATTTTTTTTTTAAGGGCTGGGAAGATGGCTGGTCTGCTAAGAGCACATATTGCTCTTGACCAAGGTTCAGTTCCCAGCGTACACATGGTGGCTTAGAACCATTGTAACACCAATTCCAGGGGATCCAAAACCTTTTCTGAACTCACAGGCATCTGACACAGATGGTGAGTATACATACAGACAGATAAAACAGTCACACACTTTTTTTTTAAAGTTTCTAAGCACTATATCCAGAATCTTCCCCTCTCCATCGCCTCTCCTTCTTCAATGAGAGATCTGCAAAGACTTCTTGTCACATAGAAACACCCCGCTGACAAGAAGTGCAACTCAGCCTAGTAGCCACCAATATGCTGATTAGAGTTGAGTAGTCAAAATCCAGATCTAGCCAGCTTGCCAAACCACTGCTTACAGATATGTTATGATTAAGACTCAACACTTTAATTGGGCAGTGGTGGCACACACCTTTGATCCCACCACCTGGGAGGCAGAGGCAGGCGGATCTCTGTGAGTTCAAGGCCAGCCTGGTCTACAGAGTGAGTTCCTAGATAGTCAAGGCTAAACAGAGAAACCCTGTCTCTAACCTCCACTTCAAAAAAGAATCAACACCTTTAGAGTATTGACACAGTAACCAAGAGTCAGGCACAGAAGCCAAAAATTCGATAAAATTAAGTAAATTTGGTCAGTGAGAGAAGCTGGTGTGTTCTAGAATTTTACCCTAAATAGGAGGCATGACTGAAAGATTTGGGATTGAATCCTTAATCAATGGGGTAGCTCTCTGCTCCTGGGTCCCCTACTGGAGTGGTGTCAGAGAAGAAGAAGGTGGGGATATTGTCCAGAACACCCAGCTTCATTCTCATTTTTTAATTCACTGATAAGAATCTAATGATGGCCGAGTGTTGGTGGCACATGCCTTTAATCCCAGCACTTAGGAGGCAGAGGCAGGTGGATCTCTGTGAGTTTGAGACCAGCCTGGTCTACAGAGCGAGTGCTAGGATAGGCTCCAAAGCCACAGAGAAACCCTGTCTCGAAAAACCAAAAAAAAGAAAAAAAAAATCTAATGATGGCCTCCTTGGTGGGTATACTTGTGAGTTAGTCTATAGCTTGACCTTCAAATTCATGCAGTAAGTGTTTTGGTTGGTTGTTTTGTTTGAAACAGGGTCTCACTGTGTAGCCCTGGCTGGCCTGGCATGTACCATGTAGACCAGGCTGGCCTCAAACATGAACAGATCTTCCACTGCTTCCTAAAGATGTGCACCACCACACATGACTCATGCAAGAACTTATTTGTTGGTTGGTTGGGTTGGTTGGCTTTTTCAAGACAGTGTTTCCCTGTGTAACCCTGGATTGTCCTGGACTCACTCTGTAGATCAGGCTGGCCTCAAACTCAGAGATCCATATGCTTCTGCCTCCCAAGCACTGGGAATAAAGGCATGCACCACTACCACTTGCTTCTTGTAGGTGTTAAATGTCTTGAGCTTTATGTTAGTATCAGACTTTGGTATACAAAGAACCTTTGGTCATCAGAGTGCAGGTCCCATGATTAAATCTCACAGACTCCATAAAAGGCAAGGGGATGCAGAGGGACAGTTCATTTGGTGAAGTACTTGCTGGATAAGCACAAGAGCCTAAGCTTGGATCCCTAGAACCCACAAAATAATCAAAGCATGTCTGTAACTCCAACAGTGGGAGGGTGGGGTTTGGGGGTAGAGTCAGGCTGCTATCTGGCTCTCACTAGCTGGACAGGTTCCCTGAACCAGAAAGCTGCAAGTTCAGTGGCAGGCCTTGTCTCCAAATGTAATGTGGAGGGGCCAGAGAGATGGCTCTGCAATTAAGAGCATGGTTGCTCTTCCAGAGGACTTGGGTTGTGTCCCCAGCACCCACATGGCAGCTCACAACCATCTATGACCCCAGTTCCAGGGGATTCGATGACCTCTTCTGACCTCCTGGGGCATTTGGTATCAATGGGGCCCACAGGCATTTGTGCTGGCCAAACACCTAGGCATGTAACAAAATGAATTTTTTTTTTTATTTTTTGAGACAGGGTTTCTCTATGTAGCCCTCCCTGTCCTGGAACTCACTCTGTAGATCAGGCTGGCCTCGAACTCAGTGAGATCTGCCTGCCTCTGCCTGGAGTGCTGGGATTGCCACCATCGCCTGGCTATGGAAAAAAAAAAAAAAGAGATTGATAGAGGAAGTTGTTTTACCTTTGTTCTTCACTGCTTCACACACACACACACACACACACACACACACACACACACACACACACACGGAATATAAACAAGAAACTTGAAAAATTTTGATGAGATCAAAATTGTGTGTGGTGTACATGCCTGTTCATGCAGGGGTTTTGTGGTGTTTGTATGGTGTATTTGTGGGGTGTGTGTGGAAGGGTTCCTGTTGGGTTGTAGTGTGGTTTATGTGTATGGTGTGTGTGTAACTTGATTGTCACTGAAGACCCAAGAGATGGCTCAGTAGGTAAAGGTGTTGCTGCTGAGTCTGACAACCTGAGTTTGGTCACTGGGACCCACAGAAGCCAAGAACTGACTATCCCAAACTGTCTTCTGATCTCCACCTGTGGAGTGTGGCACGTACATACACACATACACAAAATCGATCTTCAACCATCATTGACTGTAGAATACTTTCCAAGAAAGTCAGTTATGAATACTTGTAAGCAAGAGACGTTCCCCAGAACTGGGGTGGATGAGTGTGTGTTGGGGGGTGGCAGAGCAAATTGTTCACTATTTCCTCTTTGCTGTGATCAAGTGCCTTTGTGTGTCAGCCAGAAGCTTAGGGAGGAAGGGTTTGTTTGGGCTTATAGTTTAAGAAGGGACATGTTCATCATGGCAGGGAAAGCCTGGTAGCAGAACTGTGGGAAGCTGGTCACAGTTGGAGAGCAGACAGAAAACAGGACCTATTTCCTCCAGGAAGACTCCATTTCCTATAGGTTACACAGTCTGTCAAACCAGCACTGTCAGTTGGGCACCAAGTGTTCAAATACAGGAACCTGTTTGGGGGGTGGGGTGGGCACTTCACATTCAGAACAACAGAGATAGGGAAGACTGGAGAGAAAAGGTCAAGGTGGGAAAGGAAGGGCTGGGAAAGACAGAGGGGCCAGAGGGGGAGCTAATGTAAAATCCACCCTTCCCTGCTCTACCTGATTGTCTTCCGTGGGTATCACCAAAATCCCAGATAGTTTTTGTTGTTATTGTTGTTGTTCCTCAGTTTCTAGGAGACCAATGTCCCAGCCTAGCCAGAGTTCTAGGCCTTCTTGAAGGGCCAGAATAAACAGTGTGTGGTGGTACTTGCCTGTAATCCCAACACTAAGGAGGTCAAGGCAGGGGGATCCCCGACTTGAAGCCAGCCATGGAATGTAGGAGCTCAAATACTGAATTCACTTTCCTAGTACCTGGCACCCTGTACCCTTCCTCATTCAGTTCATTTACTCTTGACACAAGGCAAGGTGGTATTTCTGATATCCAATTTGCGGATGTAGGAACCAAAGTAGGAGCTGAAAGATGGCTCACCAGTTAGAAGCATATTCTGCTCTCACAGAGGACCTGAGTTCAGTTCCCAGCACCCATGTCAGGTGGCTCGCAACTAGCTGTAACTTCAGAGGGATCAAATGTTTCTGGACCAATGGGCATCTGTACTTGGGTACATACCCATTCACTTATAATTAAAAAGATAAAAGAGGCTAAAACACATGAAAGACTAATTGGCCAATGTCACAGATCCATAAGTAACTTGTCTTGCTCTAGTTTCATCATGTTGGCGAGGTGAGGCCCAAGGTTCCGCGTTGGGTAGGATGTGTCCATGCAGTGGGACACTCTGGCTGAAGCTGGCTATTTCTACTACAGCCCAAGAAGGAGATAAAGGCCTGGCAGGCCTTGCTAAGCCAAAGATCACCAGATTGAGGACTAGGTCCCTGGCCCAGGGTGGGTAGGTGTCACAGTCCAGGAGTAGGGTAGAAAAACTGAGAACGAAGAGGGAGCCAGCAACACACTGAGAACAGTGGATATGAACTGTCTTAGTGCTCTGGACTTCCTGTGGCAGGTGCTGGGTGAGGATTGCTCAGTAGTTCAGACAGCAAGAGACAAAGCAACACAAAACCAGGTAATGGGGCTCACACAATGCAGGCCCTTCCAGTATTCTACCAGCTCCACCCTAGTTCTCAGTACCCCTTGTCAACCAGAGCCTACCGTCCAGACCCAGTCTGGGGCTTCAGGCTCTCCTGAGGCTGCTTCACACAGCAAATGGTGAGGAACTGGTCCTGAGTCCTGTTGGGCTAATGCGCCTTACACCTCTTCCTGGCTGGCTCACCTGCCTACTACGCTGGAGCTACAGACCCCGTGTGCAGCAGACCTGGCCTGCTGCCGACTGCTCCTAGCCTCAAACTCCAACCTCCACAGGCACAGTGGACAGCAAGCACAGAGGAGGCTGAGAAGCATCGGTGCTGGACCACAGTGTGGAGCAGTCACATGAGCAGAGTCACACTAGTTCCTGGGAGACAGTACCACCAGCAGCACAGTTCAGGGCTGAGGGAAAGTTCACTCAGGCAGACAGGACTCTTTGTGGCCCAGGCCCTGTTATTTAGCGACTCCATATTTTCCAGAGGCCCGGGGTGGGAAAGAGCCCAAGTGTGGACATGTGTGGGGCTCTGGGAGACAGGAAGGCACAAGACATTGACAATGACATAAACTGCTGTGTGTGGTGCTACCCAGCTGTGACTCCAGCACTTAGGTGGAAGCCCAGAGGATCAAGAATTCAAGTCCAGTCTCAGCTACATGAGACCTATCTCAAAAAAAAAAAAAAAAAAAAAAAAAAAAGAAAGAAAGAAAAGAAGAAAATTGACACAACCTAAAAAATAGTCGACAACAAAACCTGGTGTTTTTCTCTTTTAATTATTTACCAGATTAAAAAAGAAAAAAATAGTGATTGTTTTTCTTCACCCCCAATATTTCTGTTTGCCAAAGCTGAGTGGGAGAGACTCATTGAACGTGATTCGTGCTCCAGGCTGGAAGCAAAGTCCTCCCCTCTGCTCTGTGCCACCTCCAGCAGGAGGGGCAGTGCAAAGAGATCCAGGAGTCATCGTCCTGGACAACAGACTGGCAGTGTGGCTGTCATTCTTCCTCTCCACGCTGCCATCTGAGCATTCAGACCTCCCCTCTCCTGCCTGCCCTGCAGTTCATGGAAAGATGTGCCTGCAGGAGGCAGCGCAGGACAGGGCGGGCTGGGGGCAGCACACAGCAGATGCAGCAGGACAGGGCCACCTCCTCCTATTGCACATCCTGGCTCAGGCCTCTGCCCTGAGTGGTGGATACATGATGAGATGCTCTCCAGATCCGAACAGGGAGCCTGCCAGTATCAGGCTCAAGAAACAGGGAATATGGCACCATGTGGCTTGCTCCAGAAAACACACATAATTTATGATGGGGCCAAAGTAAAAACTTAGCTTCTTTTACACCTTGGGGCCTGTAGTTTACTTGGGTTTCTCCTGCTCAAATTCAAACCCTTTCCCCACCTCCATCAGTAGATTTGCTTCTGCCTAAGATGGAAGAGGTTGTGGCCCCCAATAACGTAAGCCACCCCAACAACTGCCATGACCCTGAACCATTCAGAGCACGAACACCCAGAGAATTTGACAAAGCATGCAGAGAAACATCTTGCAGACAATGTTTCTCCAGACGCTCAGCTGTTGGGTCTCTCTGAATAAGACTTGTTTGACTTTCATTCTTAATCCCAATAAAGCAGAGGAGAGGGGAGCAGTTTAACTGTCATTGCAGATAACAAAACTTCATCATTAAAATCTCAGGAGTGGAAGACAGGGCTGGCTTTGATGGGCAAAGCTGAAAAACCTTTCACCTTCACTGGCTGGAACGAAGCTGGTGGGTGAAGACAAACCTAACGGAGCCAAAGGCAAGAACTGCAGGCTATGAGAGACGACGGTCAAACACAGAACTGTATAAATTGTGGCACTATAAAGATGAGAAGGTAGGTCCGTGACATCAGCTGGGAGCACACCTCCATAGCATGGCTTCCAGGAGCTGTACCTGTCCTGTCATGAGTGGCAGCATCCAGATACATCCAAGTGGTTCTTTCCTCCTCATTCAACAACTTCTCAGTGTTTCTCATTAAATAACTATGTACACACACAAGGCTGTCCCTCTGTTACATGAGGGTCCTTCACTTGAGTTCCTGCAATGGCTTTAGAGAGTCGGCTCCAATTGCCTTTTTGGAGATTTACTTGAGACCAAACCTGCAAAAAAGAAATGACAATATTCAATGGGAAGTTTGTAACCAAAGCATCCCAAAGCTTAAGCAACTGGGTCTCCATGTGCATAACCTGGCCTCCCTTGCAGGGCTTTGGAGTGCAGACAAACTGAGTTCTTGGGGTGGAACCTATCCATTCTGTGCCTGACTCCCCTGTCCGCCAGAGTCATGCCCAACATCTGTGGGAAACAGCTCCGTACCTCCTTCTGATATGGACAGTTTCTCGAGTTCAGCTTCAAGTTCAGCATCCAGGATCCTAGGCTCAGGCACACTGTTGGTATAAAGCGTCTCTTGGGGGTTGTCGGGGAGGTCCAACGGTTCTTTGGTGGTATCCTGAAGGAGGATGTCCAACTCCTTCTCCAGTTCCTCACTGTCAAAATCTGGGAGAAAGTAGGCATGTCAACCCCAGGAAAGAAAAAGATGAACCGATATGCCCAGCACAGCTCAGTTTCACAGCCCAGAAGCCCCTCTGCAGGTGGCCAATCACATGAGTCATGAGGTAAAGATATTCTTCGTCTGTAGGCAGGGCTGGGTTGTCAGATGGTTACAGTCCACTGACCCCAGGGACCTGGCCCTGCTTTCCTTTGCCCTGAGAGGGGACTGCCAGTCAGATGCTTTGCCAGTATGGGCTCTGGAGAACAGAGGACCCTCAGGACAGTTGTCTGGGAGGTAACATTAACTCCCTCCAACCATCAATGCAGGTGAGCCCCAGAGAGGGCCAAGCTCATGATCAGACCTGCCCATGCCCAGAATGAGAGAGCTCTCAGAAAGGAGAGTGTCCTTGTCAACTCACCTAAACCATTGGTTACCCCGCCAGCCAGAGTCTGAGAAACTTCATCCTGCGTGTCACACAGCTACAAGAGACAAACACAAAGTTCTGAAGGGAATGATGGCTCTGGGCAGCTCAAAAGTTTTGGGGGAAATGTTTAGGGTTACAGAGATCTGACCATCAAGGAACAGTTCCTCTCAGGCATAAGGCCGAGTCAAGCTTGGAAAACTGGCCTGCAGCAAATCAACCATATTCTCTACAACTCCTTTCTCATGGCCCCTCCCAGGCCCCTGTACCTCTTGGATCTGGTCCACAAGGCTCTCCGCTTTCTCCACTGTGACATCCTTCATGGAAAGTTTCAAGGCTCCCACACCAGCTTGGTAGGCATTAAAAACCTAAGGAGAAGATCAAATTACCTGTGCAACACTTGCCAAAATACAGACAACCATACTCCATCTCCAAAGTTTGCTTCCAGCTTTCTTTGGCCACCCAAGGTCAATTCACCTTACACCCATAGAAGCTAAACTTCCCAACAGGGAAGGGAACCCAGCCACACCCTGGAAGAACCCAGGACTCATTGGAACAGCAAGCCACAAGGGAGGGAGATGCAGTGTGCAGTGTGGGAGCCTGGGACCACAAGGCACGGAGGGGCGTGGCTACCATCTGGTCTGTCTGGGAGGCATAGATGCGATCCAGGATGCCTTGAACAGTGTCCAGCTTGGCATGCAGTGCCTCAATGCGTTTCTCTGTCCTCTGTTTGGCCTTGAGAGACCTCAGTGCCTGTCGGGTATGAAAACAGATCATGGGACATGGTAGGGCACAGGGCAAAGGCAAGACAGCCCTGCTCAAACCACAAGAGCATCCCAGCCTTCTTCCTATAAATTAAGCTATGGTGCCTGAGACACCTGCAGATGCTACTCCCAGAACCCCAATCAGGCTGCTCTCTGAACTATTAGGCCCTGTCCCTGACGGTTTCAGATGCCACTCCTAGGCTGCAGGGAAAGAGAACCTACCAACTGCTTCTTTCCAGCTCGGCATGCCCGGCGGGCTTCCTCTTTGCACCTGTGGGAAGGAGGATAGATGAAGAAGGCCGTGCCGTGCTCCAAGAAAGAGCACCCACAGCCATTGTGATGGCCAGTTACCCACTGCCAGACTCTGGAAGCCAGTCTCAACAGAGGCTTGAGCCTCTATCTGCATGACGCAAGACAAGTTGATCCACATCTTTCCACTGCAAGACATAGGATTGATCCCTAACATTAAAGACCTTGGCCATGTCTCAGCCTTCCAACGCTCCTCTATTTCTGAGAGACGGAATCAAGAGCTCTTAAATCAATATGTTTGTCTTCCATTCAGGGAAGTGCCTGAGGATGCTATCTAGGATCTCTGTAGACACACCCCAAGGAAAGAGGAAGAGATCCTTAAAAAGGCCCTGTGAAGACACAGACCTACCGACCTTGCTATCTCCTGACCTGTGAACAACACCAGGGTTCAGAAGGACATAAAGAAGATGTTAACAGCTGTAATCACGGGAGGGACAAGTAGTCATTTTTTCCTTTATTTTCTGTTTTCCATATGGAGTACCTAGTACTTGTGTAATTAATAGGTAACTTTTTTTCAGTGCAGGGTGGCAAAACCATGGCCTCATACATGCTAGATAAGCACTCTACAAATGGAGATATATTCCAAGCCTTGGTTTTGTTTGTTTTTCCTTTTTGCAGAGACCCAACCATGCCAGGGCTCCAGGGCAGCTAGATAGGAAAACAGATTACCTCTCAGATTCTTGGGATAAAGACTCAACCTTCCGAGAGAGAAGCTGTTCACTCTGCATCAGCTGGTAGACCCCAACATCCACATCGTTGACAGGAGATACTTTGGCATGTGGCCCCCTGGCAAACTTCACAATCTGCGGGGGGGGGGGGGGGGATAAATTACTGCTGTTCCTACTACACATGCTGAGAAATTCACAACCAGGCCTGGGGTGGGCATATGAGTGCAGACTAAGTCCCTGTGAGTCCATGCACACACACACATGCATGAACACACACACACACACACACACACACACACACACACACACACACACACACACAGGCATGCTTCCACACCTTCTCTCCATTCTGTTCCAGGACGGTAACTCTCTTCTCTTTCTGCAGCTGCAGCAGCACCAGGTAGAAGGTCCTTTCGTCTGGGCAGGAGTTGGCACATAGAGTACTCAGCTCTGACAGGGCTACCACAGGGTGGGAGGAGATGGGCGAGTTCTGGTACAGGCGATACACCTCCTCAGCCTTTTCCTACAGGGAAGGCAAAGAAATTCAAAGTCCTGGTTACCACCTCAGGACACATGAGCCTTGACCCTGAGCTTCAGAGTCACGAGCCCACAAGGAAAGACCCAGGGAGTACCAACCTAGT